TTACTTTCCTTCTTTCTTTCTTTCTTTTCTTTCTGGCTCTGTCTCTGGCTCTCTCTTTTGGCTAGAATATCCAAACCAGTATTAAAATAGTATAGTAGTGAAGACTGACCTCATTTATTACTGTTTTTATTTTTTTTAGCTGAGCCACCCTGCCACCTTTTGGCAGCTCTGTGGCAACTCAGCTCAGGCCGGGCATCGAACTGCTGTTATTACTGTTTTTAAAGGGAGAATATCTACTGCTTCCCATTAACTAAAAATAAATATTCTATCATCATGTTAAGTATGAGTGATTTTAATTATTTTAAGATGGGTATTAAATGTATCAAATATTTTTATCCGTTATACTTGTTTATTTTTTTATTTTATTTATTTATTTATTTATTTTTTAAAGATTTTTGTTGGGGAATCGGGGAGATGGGAACAGTGCTGGGGAATTGGGGGAAGGGGAACAGACAAGTTGCTGTCCTTTTGTTCTTCAGTCTAGTTGTGGAGGATGTTGCTTCACTGGCCCATGTTGGTATTATCATTCATTGAGCTCTTCCCTGGTGAGGCAGATTGGCCGCCGGCCACTGGACGGCCGCTCACGCTGGCTGCTGGCTACACACGGTAGCCCATGGCAATCCACTGCCACAGAGGCTGCAGCCTACGCCGTCGCCGGGGACTCAGGGCAGCCCAGCTCCAGGTTGAGCTGTTGTTCAGCATCTTAGCTGTAGAGGGCAGTGTCACTGGCCCTCATATGTGGGATCCGAACCAGGGCCCTCTGGCATCCCAAGCCAGCTCTTAACCATCGCGCCTCTCGGCCGGCCCTATACTTATTTTTGATTAATCACATATATGGTATATTATTTTAAGATATTTCTGTATTTTTAAACCATCCCTGAGTTACCCTTGTGTTGATATGCTATTCTTTTAATAATAATAATGTCATATAGTGTTGTGGTTAAGAATGTTGATACTGAAGCCATCCAGCCTGGATTCAAGTTCTGCCTCTGCTAGTTGCAAGCTGTGTGATATTGATCTTAGTTACTTATCCTCTCTGTGTGTCCTTTTTTTTTTTTTTTTGTATGTCTGATCTTATTTGTTAGTCTTAGGAAATCTCATTTTTGACTGGATTGCAGATTCTGCTCTTTTGGGCCCCAGGTGATGAGGCACAGTCATATCTATGTGTTTATTTTTAATAACAGCACCTGCCTGTACTGTTATTACCTGTTACTGTCAGCACAAGCCAGCCCACCTATCTCTTCTATGATTGCTCCACGATTTTTGTGAGGATTATTTGAGTTAACATATGTGAAGTTTTGGAGTAGTGTGTGACAATATTAAGTAAACACTTAATAATAGCTATTATTATTATCATCATAATTTTAAGTAATTTGTTATAGAATTCTATATGTTAACATTTGACTTGTGATTTTTGCATTCATATTCCTGAGAATTCTTTTTGTAATATCATTATCTGATAAGAAATGAGGATCTTTATGAGGATCTTTATCTGCTATTCTGAACAACTTAGGAAAATTCCCCTTTTTCCCATGTTCTAAAACTATTTAAATAACATGCAACAGAATTATCTCTTTCAAGAATGTTTGGAAATATTAAACAGTGAACCTCCTGGGCCCAGTGTTCTTTGGTCATTTTTGATAACTTTCTCAGTGTCTTCCTTAATTGTTGCTCAATTCTTGCTTTTGAGTCCTTGTTTTACATTTTTTAAAGTAAAAATATATATGTAATTTAAAAGTTTACTCAGGGTTTCAAATTCATTATAGTTATATAAAAATTCGCTTATAGTCATTAAATCTCTGTGATGAGTTTTAAAATTTGGGAGTGATAGATATATTCAATGTTTTGATTGTGGTGATGTTGCACAGGTTGATATATTTGTTAGAATTGATGAAATTGTACACTTTATATATATGCAGTTTATTGTGTCGATTATACTTCAATTTTAAAAAAGCAATTAAAAAATGTCTACCAATTTCATAAATCTTTTCAAAGTACCAGCTGACATTTATTAGTTCCATTGTTCATGATTTCTGATTTTTAAAATTATCTTCTGAAATATATGAGATATATTTTATTATAGATAGAAAGAGGTGGTGTATGCAAGGGCTTATGGTGATTCATTTTCTGATAGTAGGGTATATGTTTTGTTTTATGCCTATTAAACTATCTTGGTTTTGTTGTTCCCAGCCTGTTAAATATTATGAAAAGGAAAATATAGATTGAGATGCAGATTTTTTTCCAGGCCCTTCTTGTTGCTTTGGAACCAGGAAACTGGGTATAGAGAAGGTGTAAAAGTGGAAGGACCTGGGCTCTGGCCCACACAGCGAGGCTCTTGGGTGTGAGTTAGCTATGGACTGAGATGCAAGGATTAAACTGGAAACAGAAGGAGCCAATAGTTTTCTGGAAGAAAAGCTATCAATGGGTACTGGAGGAAGTTTCTCAGCATACAAAAGCAAAATGCTATCTGGATTTTCCTTATACTCTATACCACTTTGCCTAGCTAAGTGTGAAATCCCTGATGATGGAGACACTCTGCAGAAAGACCTGGAAAGGCCAGGGCCAGGCTTGACTCTGCTAGCCACTGTGGAGATGGGACAGAATAGTGACCAATGCCTTTCCACAAAGTTAAGTGTGAAGCTTGGTATTTGGAACAGGGGATTCAAACTCTTATGGAATGCTGAGCTTCCAGCGAGGTTATCCCAAGGAAGAGGTCTTGGCTATTTCTGAGGATTTTTCCTGTTAAAGTTTATTGGGGTGACAATTGTTACAAAGTTACCTAGATTTCAGGTGTACAATTCTGTATTACATCATCTACATATCACATTGTGTGTTCACCACCCAGAGTCAGTTCCGAGGATGTTTTGATGCCATCTGTTTGACTCAAGTCAATCCAGATTTATTGATCATTCTAAGCACAACTTGTGCCAGGCACTAAAGGGTAACAGAGATGCATCTGATATGGTCCCTGTTTTTAAAGAACTTAGACTATAGTGCAAGAGGCAGACAATAATTATGATAGCAGCTAACACTTTGCCTGCATTCTTCTAGGCCCTGTTCTAAGGTCTTTGTATGTACTGACAATGGCCCAAATAAGTGGGTACTATTTTCACTCACTAAAATGAGGGAGGAGGAAATTGAGACACAGAGAAGTTATTTTCCTCATGTCACACAGCTTGTGAATGGCAGCACCTGGATTGAAACCAAAACAGTCTGGCTCAAGAGTCTTCGTTCTTAACTTTATACTGTGGAGCAGTGGTTCTCAAAGTGTGGTCCCCAGATCGGCAGCATCAGCCTCATCTGGAAACTTATTAGAAATGCACGTTCTTGGGTCCCACCCAAGACCTACTGAATCACAAGCTCTGGAACTGGGGCTCTGCAATCAGTATTTTAACAAGCTCTCCAGGTTAGTCTGATGCCTGCTGTTTGAGAACCTCTGTTAGAGAGAAGCAAGGCATACTATGATGAGTGTCAGAAATTAATCTCTCTATGGGTAAGGACTGAGTGTGTACTGTCTGTCTCTTCGGTTCCTAGCCTTCAGCACAGCATCTAGTGTAAAGTAGGCATAAAAAATACATATGAATGAATATAAGGGAAAGTGATGTTTGAACTGGGTCTCTTACCGCATATCAACTGCAGCAGACCAAATGAGAGGAATCCTCCCAGAAACTGTGAGACTAGCAAGGAAATGGTGTGATACTTTTGGCAAGGTATAATAAGGGTCTGCCCTAACTACCTCAAGGAGCCATCAGAATGGCAGGGGGATCATGTAAGAATAGTTTAGGAGGTAAACAACTCAGGACTTGGTGAACAGCGGAATCGGGGGAAGAAGCAAGGGAGAGAAACTTCATTTCAGGGATGAAGGTGCCATTTGCAGAGACAGGAAGCATAGGACAAGCACGTTTGTAGGGTAAAGATAAAAGAGTTTGGTTTTGGACTCTAAATTTGAAGTACTGGTAGGATATCCAGGTGGAGCTGTCCAGCAGACACTTGGAAATATGAGTCTGAGACTTGACTGGAAATAGAGACCTGGAAGGATAGTTGAGCCGTAAGAATGGGTGAGACCTTCAAGGGGAAAGTGGAAAGTGGACTGAGGAGAGAGCTGGGTTTGAAACCATGGTGAACACTGTTATTTAATGGGGCAAAAGCAAAAGGGGGCCCTTGAATAAGACTGAAAAGGAGTTAAGCAATAGGAAATCTCAGAAAATGCTGAAGCCAAGTAGAGGGCTCAAAAAGTAAGGAGAGGCGTAGTGTCAGATGTTGCAGAGAACTAAGAATTGAAAATGTTCCTTTGAATTTCGCCACAAAAAGTCTTTTAAGTGACGTGGTGAGGACAAGCAGATTGACTGAGTTCAGGCCTGACCTGTAGATGAAAAAGTGGAGAGAGGTCCCACAGATAGAGCTCTGTAGCCGCACTTAAGTTGAGACTGTGACATCTTCCAGGGTAGTAGGCAGGGTCTCTTGTAGATCTGTGGTCTCTGTGCCCATCACTCGGCCTGGAAATGAGGATGGAATCAGTGAGTTCAGTGACTAGGACGGAGAAAGCCTTCGGGGAGGCAGTGGTTTTGCAGCCAAGGCGTGAAGAATGAGAGAAATTGGGAGGAGAGGTGGGAGGCAGGGCCCCTGGGTGATGGGGTGCTCGGAGATTGCGAAGCGGGCCCGGGAATGAGGTGGGATTCCTGTGATGCGCGCGTGGCTCTGTGCGAAGCGGGGCGGCTCCGTGTAGGCTGGGAGGGAGCTGTTTGGGTAAAAGACAGGGCCCGAGGCTGCTGCGGGGGGTGTTCCCCCCGCCCCGCCCCGCCCCGCCCCACCTCACTTACGCCACTGCGCGGCTCCGTTGCGCCTCTACCCAGGCCCTCCCGCCGGGCTGCATGGCGACGGGCGACCGCCAGGGGCCGCTGCCTCGGTCCCGGGTGCCCCCGCCCCTCTCCATTGGCCTTTGTTGCCGTCGGAGCGCCCCGCTTGACTCGTTCCCGTCCGCCCCCTGGGCCTGGCGGTCGCGCCTGCGCACTGGCAGCTGGCCGGGCGCTCGCAGGGGGAGCTGCTGCAGGCTCCGCGGCGGCGGCGGCAACGGAGGCTGTGGGGGTGGCGGCGCGAGCGGCCGGGCTTGGGGGGGGGAGCCGAGCCCGGCCCGGGAGCCCGAGCAGCTAGAGTGCGGGGTACCTAGGCCCCGCACGCTGGACTCCACAGTCTCCCGGCCGCCTGACCTCCGCACGGGTATATGGGATGGAAGCGGGACCCTCGGGAGCAGGTAAGGGCCCCCGAGAAGGGGGGACGGTGCGTGCTCCAAAGGACCGAGGGACTCCCGCGTGAAGAGCAGTATATCCGAGTGAGGGAAGGTCTCCTGAGTGAGGAGAGGGGCTCTTATGGGATGGGGGGCCCAGTTTGAAGGGGGCTGTGTGCAGTTCCGGGGGAAACCTGGTGAAGGGAGCCCTGAGATGGGGGCCGTTTATCAAAGGAAGCTCTATGCACTCCTGGAGGTGGGAAGTAGTTTGGGAGAAGGGCCTGAACGCACGTAAGGACTCCCAGAGGTCCCTGGAGGCCTAGGGAGAGGCCCGGCAGGTGGCAGGGGGCGGGCTCCAGGTGTCCAGGAGAGGAGGGGGTCGACACAGATGGGCCCAGAACTGCCGCATGCCGGGGGCGGGGGCTTAGCCGGTCTGGGCTGGGTTAGTGTCTCTTGGGAGAAGGCGCCAGAGCTGGACTGTGAGCTCCGCCCCAGCCCGGCCTGATGCGGGGGCGAGGGTCAGGGGGCGGTGGGTGGGGATCCAGCCCCGGGATTCCCCCCCTTGAGTCCGGGGAGCTGGAGCAAAGGCGTTGGAGCATGCGCGGAGGTGGCAGCTGGAAGGGGCTGCCCTATGTGGTGGGGGCGTGGCTGCCCCAATCCCCCCCGACTTCCCACCCCATACTGTTTGGCTTGGAAATAAGAGCGCGCCGATGGGGTGCCTTCTCTCTAAGGTTATGCTTGCTGAGCGCAAATGGAAATGGTCCCCTTCCCCATCTTGGGGGTTCTTAACACTTGGCAAAACCCTCAGTCACAATTTGCCAAGAATGAATTGAGGGAAACTGCCAAAGTGCCTTATTCTGCCACTGGGACGAGAAAAGACTGGGACGGATGGAGGCAGTGTTCCTGGGGCGGGGCCTCCCTAAACATAGGCCTTAGAAAAGGTATTGATTACTGAGGGACCAAGGCCAGGACCTGGTTTACCTGGAAGAGGTTGTCTGCCCTCTTGGCACGTTTCTGGTCCAATATTGAGTAGAGATGGGATCTTTTAATCAAAGGATAATGACCTTTCCATTGAAATGTCTCCTGAGATGACAGCCTAATCCCTTTCTATACCTTAATACTTTTATTGCTCCTATCTCCAACTTCCGTATCTTTTCTTTTTCCTCTCTCTAATCCCCAGAAACTGTCAGGTTCATGTCATTTGACCCAAGGTTGCCAAGCTAGCCTTTTGTCATAAATAAGTTGTTTGGGGGAGGAGGGGTCTACAGTCTTCACCCTAGTGAGTCCCAGGTGATGGTAGCCTTAATTTCTCCTTGTTCATGGGCAATCAGGAGAAAAGGAGATAAAAACAGGAACTGAGGCTGGACTGCCCCAAGAAGACTAATGTCCCCAGGATGGGCTGTGGGATGGTGGTGGCACCACCTGTGTCCTAGGTCCTTCGGTGGGAGGAGCATTCTGGACCTGGGAATCCTTTAGGTCATATCTCACTACCGCCTTCTATTTGATCTGAGGGTGGGAGTAGGGCTTCCATAGGAGACATGAATTTCATTCCTGGTGGGAGAACCTTTGTCTTTTATACCAGATCTAATCCCCTCCAGGAAAAAGCTCCTACCAACTCACTTGAGACACCCATTCAGTGATCTGTAAGTATTTTCCTTTAAGTGAAAACAACATTGAAAAGGCCGTATAGGCCTTAAGGTGAAGTGCAGGGAGCAACAGACTTCAGAAAACTACTTCCTCCTTCCCTCAGGCTCCTCTCTCCATTCCAGGAACTCGCCTGGTTTTCTAGGCTGGAGACTTTGCAACAACCTGTGGACTAGATGGAGTAGGAGGAAGTCACAGGCCCAGAGAGATTGCTAGGAGCTGACACCCATACCAGACTGCTAATGATTTTATTCTGATGAATTCCTCGTGAGCTCTGGAGTGATGAAAAAACTGTTCCGATAAATAAGTTCTAGGGAAGGGACTAGAGCTTGGTATCTGGAGTTGGCTGTAGCCTCGTGGGACAGGCTTTGCCTCATCAAACGGTGTAATTGAAATTCATTCTGGAAGCTGTCAATGGAGGTACCCCATAAGTGCCTCCTTCCTAGGCTCAGACTGTTCTCTTGGAAGTTGGAAGAGGACACAATTCACAAAACTAAGGTATCGCTGCTGGCTTCACAGGGCTTATGTCCAAGTGTGCCTTCTGTGCTCAGGTGTGCTCCAGATGTACTGGACTGGTAGCTGCCTGAAGGTACAGGTAGTGTCTGATTTATCTGTGGAACCAGCAAGTGTTTAGGCCCTGACACAAAGTACATGTTTATTAACTGAACTGGGTCACATTCCAGTGTGACATAAATGGTTACGCACATATGTGAGTATTTAATTTGCGTATACTTATGTGTGGACAAATTCATTTTGCAGAGATTGGCCTCTTAGCCCTTGCTTACTGACAGCTAACCTAGCCTTGAGTTTGTCTTTTGAATAGGCTGTCTGGCTCCTTGGGAGGTATGTGGGCCTCAGAAACTGCAGGGAAGGAATCCCTGAGCCAGGCATTTCAGCTGTGTTACTTTTCCTTCTCAGGGCTGGTTGGAATGGGGGAAGGGGAGTGTCCTTTTCATGGCCCCTCCCTCCTTGCTTTTGTCTGTAAGGAAGAGCCCCGCCCCTTTCCCCCAAGGCCCAAGCTTTGTCCTCTGTGCTGGGGCCCTCATCTGCATCACAAAGTGGCCGTCTGTCCCTGTCTGGGTCTGAAGGGAAGTGTCTCCCTTTCTCAGACTAAAAGCTGGGGGCTGGGTGAGGTGCGGGGGGTGGTGAACTTTCTACAGCTGTAAGGCTTCCAGAGGGATGGAATAGGAGAGAGCTTCCCCCTTCCTCCTGCCTTCCCTAGTTTGGGGATGAAGGAGAGCGTGGGGGTTCTCCTGTTTTCCCAGTGCCTCCTTGGAGTAGAGGGTGCCTAAGGCTGTCTGGCCTGTAGTCCTATTTCTGGGGAAGAGAAAGCTTTGAGGCTCTAGTGTTTGTCCCTTCCCCCATCCGTTCTACCCAGCCCCCAGCTCTAGGGGATGTCTTTCTCCCCAGGCTCCAAACGATTATTCAGCCTGGGAGGCTAAGGAGGTGAAATGGAATGTAAGAACTTGGGGAGGGGAAGGGTGTCTTTTACCAGCTATATCCACCAGGGTGCATTTTTGTTCTGTGCAGGGTTTATAATAGTTTCTGAGCGGTTTGCAGGTGTTCGTTTGTTTTTGTTTTCTTTGTGGATTGTGCATGGATCTGTTTGTTCATTCATTTAATATTTGTATATTTGAACACACCTCCCGTGTGCCAGACACTGGAGATTCAGCAATGACCAAGGCAGATAGTCCTTGCATTTGGTGAGGGGTGTATATAAAGGTAAACTCTCTGTCTAAGTGAGCGTTTGGATGTGTAGGACAGGAATGTGTCACACTATGTGTGTGTGTGTCTCTGGCTTGTGTGCAATTTCTCTCCAGCTCTTTTTGGGGTAGGTGGCCAGGTGATAGTAGGTAAGCCTTCACTTCCCTAGGTAGCTGAGTCCTGAAGGCCTTTACCCTCCAGGCTGGACCTGCATTTCCCAGAGTGCAGAGTGGGGCTGGGCTTGCTTGACAGGTGGTTAGGAGACAGCAGCTTAGCTCTGGGAAGCATGCCCCTCCTGTGAATGGTTCTGACCTCTTCCTGACCCCCCAGTTGAGGATGTGCCCCATCCCCCTAGCCTGGCAGACTGTGAAAGCAGAGCTCTGGTGATGGGAGAGGTTCTGGACTGATTCATTCGTCTCTCCTCCCACCTGAGCTGGTCCTCTTCTGGCAAGCACAATAGTAGCTCTGGACAAAGGCTTCTCTTAGGCAGTTTTCCTTTTCCCTCCCTTTCCCTTCAAGCTGGAAAATAAAACTAGGGGCAGCAATCAGGCTGGTGGAAGAAAGAACATAGTGGGAGCTGGCCTTGCCCTAGTCCTTTCCCAAGGGCCCCCTCTGTCTTGAAATTGATCCCTTTTGCTACTGTCTGGGCCCTCTGTGTGGAAGCTGTGTGCGGTGGAGAGAATCTTGAATCCTCCTTCTCAGAGTCAGCATCTCTCCCTTCACCAGCATTCTGATGGCTGCCACTTCTGCCCAAGTCCTCTAATCTAGCCTCTTCTTGCCTCAGTCTCCTATATTCAGCCTGTCTTCATTCCCTAGTGTTTTCTTCTTTTGAACTTTTTCTTCATTGTCTCCCCAGTTTCAGTCCTGCTTCTTGCCTCAGCCCCTAACTCTAGCCTTTCCTCCTGGTCCCCAATTCAACCGTTTTCCAGCTGTGACCTCCAGTTTTGGTGTCTTCACCAGCTCCCTGTTTTCACTCAGCCTCCCTCCCTTCCATAATTTCCAAACTCTACACTTTTAGCCTTTTCTCATTTTCTGTCTCTCTAATCTCAGCCATTCAGTTACCTTAATCCTTTCTCAAAAGTGCTGTCCCCCTCCCCCACCTGGCCTTTGGATCTTCCTCCTACCTACTTGCAGAGCAGCAATAAGATGATTCTGTTTTGTGTTCAGGATGGCGATGAATGAAGTGAGCATCTGGCTGGCAAAGAATAGGGCATTCTTGGTCTGCTAGATAGATACCTGGTGGAGGTATGTGTCTTAATCTAGTAGAAGGAAGGGTTTTGTTACTGGGAACCAGATTTAGTCCCTTTCCTTAATACGTAACAGAAACTTATTACATAGTCTCTCAGTGAGTTTAAATTTAAGATAGACAACAAGGATAATTTTCCTAACTGGAGAGAGGGATTTTTAAAAAAAAATTTTTTTTTTTTAATGAGCCTGTCCGAGCCGGTGGAAGCCCTGAGTTGGGTTGGGTAGGCAGGAAAGAGGCTTCCCTCATGCTCCCCTGCTGCTGTTCCAGGAAGCCTTGTGTCTTCTCTGATCAGAGTGTGAGGAGATTGCAGACATTCCCCTCACGAGCTGCTTTGTCTTGTAGCTGCGGGCGCATACCTGCCCCCTCTGCAGCAGGTGTTCCAGGCACCTCGAAGGCCTGGCATTGGCACGGTGGGGAAACCAATCAAGCTCCTGGCCAATTACTTTGAGGTGGACATCCCTAAGATTGACGTTTACCACTACGAGGTGGATATCAAGCCGGATAAATGTCCTCGCAGAGTCAACCGGTAAGTGATGCACGTCTCAGGCATTGAGTCCAGGAGGCTTCACGGTTCCGAATCTCAGAACCTTGAAAGAGAACCCAGAGAGGTAAAGGAAAAACTAGTAGAGGGTGTTCTCACCAAATTCAGGAAGGTTTTTGAGGAGGAGGTTCCAAGTAAGGTAAATGCTGGAAAATATCATTGGATGCTTTTGATATATCGGAGATAGTTGGCGCCTTTTGTCAGAGAAGTTTTAGTAGAGTAGTTGGGCTAGTAATCTAACTATAGTGAGTGAAGGAATAAGTGGAAGGTAATATGGTAGGGACAGTGAGAGCAGATAGCTTAACAGGGAAACGGAGAAAGAGGGAATATGTTGGCTAGACAGGATTATAGGGGTCAAGTACAGTGCCTCGCACATTTCAAGTATTTGTTGACATGAATGAATGAAAAGTTTTTAAGAATGAGACGTGGATATGTTTGTAAACTCAGGAGAAGGAGCTAGTGGAGAAGAAGAGGTTAAAGGTACATGAGAGAGACGGGAGGAGTGAGTGGCATGTCCTTGCTGAGGCAGGAGGACTTTACAGGACATGAAGTTGGAGAGATTAATTAGCCTTAGAGAGAAGCAGCGATATTTCTTTTTAAAATTTATTTTATTATTTGAAAACCATATATGCCCAATGTAAAAAAATTTAAAATATGACAAAAAGAGTAGCAGAGAAAAATGTCTTCTGTTAGCCTGATCTCTAGTCCCCTAGTCCCTTTCCTTTGAGGTATTCATTGTTACCATTGAGTATGATTGTTACCATTTTTGAGCATGATTGTTACCATTTTTGAGCATGATATTGTTGCCATTCTTGAGTAGGATTGTTACTATTCTTGAGCATGATATTGTTTCCATTCTTGAGTATGATTGTTACCATTCTTGAGTATGCTTCCAGATATTTTTCTCTGCATGTGCAAGCATATATGTATATAGAACATTTTTAAATTTTATTTATTTATTTATTTATTTATTTATTTGTTTTTATTATTATTATTCTTTTTAGCTGAGCCATTCTGCCACCTGTTGGCAGCTCAGCAGCAGCTTAGTTCGGGCCAGGCTTCGAATCGCTGTTGCTCAGAGCTCGCACTCGTGAGCGAGCTCTTAACCAACTGAGCCACTTGGCTGGCCCTAGAACATTTTTTTAAATGCACAGAATATAGAATCTTATATATTTGTTTTGCACCTTGTTTTTTCCACTGAACAATGTATTTTGGAAAATAGTACATATCAGTATATACATATCGACTGCATTTTTTTCTGCATAGCTCTATGGAATGTGATGTTATTGTAATTTATTTAATGAATCTATTGAGGAACATTTAGGTTGAGTCTAAACTTTGGCTACAAAAATGAAACTATTGAATATTATTAACTAGATACATTTTTGCAATAAAATATTAGTGTACCTGTGGGATAAATTCCTAGGAGTGGATTTGCTGGCACAATACACTTAAAAATTTTGAGATATTGCCAGGTTTTTAAGGTAAGTTGTACCAGTTTATACTTCTATTAACAAGGTATCAGAGTGCCTCTTCCCCATATCTTTACCAATTCAGTATACATTGTATTATTTTATCTTAGGCATTTTGATACATAGAAAATTATATTTGAATTTACTTTTTTTAATGACTTTTCCCATATTTTGTGGAATTTTAATTCATATGAAAAATATCCCATTTATAAGCTAAGGATTTGGTTTCATTTATTTTTGTTTGTTTGTTTGTTTGTTTTAGGTAACATTGGTTAATAATAACATTATACACATTTCAGGTATACAGCATCATAATTCGATGTCTGTATACTCTATTGTGTGCTCACCACCAAAAGTCTAGTTTCCATCCATCATCATATATTTAACCTCCTTTACCCATTTCACCATCCCCCACCCTCCTCTCTGGTAACCAACCACCAGTCTGTTTTCTGTATCTAGTAAGTTTGTTTTTGATTTGTTTGTTACTTTTTTTGTTTTACATTCCACATATGAGTGAAATCATATGGTTTTTATCTTTTTCCTTCTGACTTATTTCACTTAGCATAATACTCTCAAGATCCCTTCATGTTGTTGCAGATGCAGTATTTCATCTTTTTTTTTTTTTATGGCTGAGTGATATTCTGTTGTGTATATCGGGGGTGCCAAAAAAATGCATACAAGTGGACTCTTTGGTCAACGTTGCTCAAGCAGTAGTTTGCCATAATCAGAAGTGTCTGGATGCTGATGGTAACTACTGTGAGCACCTCTTGTAATTGCAGAAGTCAAATGTGACTTGTATTCATCTGTTGTTATTGGTATATATTGAGTATTACAATTTTAATAGTTTTTTTTTCTGTTCTTAAAATGTATATACCTTTTTTTGGCACCGTTTGTGTGTGTGTGTGTGTGTGTGTGTGTGTGTGTGTGTGTATCTCATCTTCTTTATCCATTCATCTGTTGATGGACACTTAGGTTGTTTCCATATCTTGGCCATTGTAAAATAATGCTGCAGTGAACATAAGGGTACATATATCTTTCTGAATTAGTGTTTTCATATTCTTCAGGTAAATACCCAGAAGAGGAATTGCTGGATCATATGATTGTTCTTTTTTTTTTTTTGAGGAACTTCCATACTGTCCATACTGTTTTCCATAGTGGCTACACCAATTTATAATCACACCAACAGTGCATGAGGATTCCCTTTTCTCTACATCCTTGCCAACTCTTATTATTTCTTGTCTATTTGATAATCGCCATTTTAACAGGTGTCAGGTGATATCTCATGATTTCAATTTGCATTTCCCTAATAATTAGTGATGTTGAACACATTTTCATGTGCCGGTTGGCCATCTGTATGTCTTCCTTTGAAAAATGTCTATGCAGATCCTCTGTGTATTTTTTAATTGTGTGGGTTTTTTCTTGTTTGTTTGTTTTTTTAGTTGTATGAGTACTTTATATATTTTGGATATTGATCCCTTATTGGAAATAATCATTTTCAAATATCTTCTCCCATTCAGTTGGTTGTCTTTTTGTTTTGTTGATGGCTGTGCAGAAGCTTTTTAGTTTGATGTAGTCCTATTTGTTTATTTTTGTTTTGGTTCCTTTGCTTTGGAGTCAAATTTACAAAGACACCACTAAGACTAATGTCCAGAAACTTCAGTTCTATGTATTTTATTGTTCTAGGTCTTATATTCAAGTCTTTAATCCATTTTGAGTTTATTTTTGTGTACAGTGTTAGTTTTCTAGTTTCATTCTTTTGCATATGGCTGTCCAGTTTTCCTAACACCATTTATTGAAGAGACTTTCCTTTCTCAACTGTATATTCTTGGCTCTTTTGTTGTAAATTAGTTGTTCATATATGTGTGGGTTTATTTCTGGACTCTCAATTCTGTTCCGTTGGTATGTTTGTGTGTGTGTGTGTGTGTGTGTGTGTGTGTGTGTGTGTGTGCGTGCGCGCGTGCTTTGGTCTAATTTTAATTGTGTTTCTCTAATGAGTGAAGTCGAACATATTTTTCAGATGTTTTAAAAATCATATGGAACGACATTTCAAATGTGAGAGGAAAGAAAGAGGAAAAGAGGCATGCATATATAAATATGGTTGTCTGGGAACTTGAGGGTGCCCTTGCTTACTATGGTCTACTCTTTTCAGAGTTATAGAATTGCTTTTTGATAGGAGATAGTAATGGGTTCTGGAGTTAGAAGGTAGTGGAGAAGGTTTGACATAGACTATGAGAAAAGGAAGCAATCAGGGACATGAAAAAGATTGTTGGACAGCACTGGAATCTTAACTGGGACGGATAGAAAGTTAAATCCAAAAAGAGATGACAATGGAAAGAAAATGGAGTGGTGGGACTAAGGGCTTCAGAGAGATGAAAGAGATGAGGTTTTGCTTCCACAGTTTATTCCTATTCCAATTTAGATCTCTTCCCCATCTACATATTTGCTTATCAGCTTGGGAATTAGAACAGCCTCAATTTTGTTCCTGATTCTGGATAGACCCTTCTCTTTCTTCTCAGCCTTGCCCTCTGCTCAAAAGGCACTCACAGCTGCTCTTTCAAGTCCTTTAGAGCCTTGGTGATCTGAGGACCAGCAGCATCACATGGTAGCATGTTAGAAATGTAGAATTTCAGGCTTTGCTCTAGACCTCCTGAGTCAGAATCTGCATAGTAATAAGATCTCCAGGTGATTCATATGAATGTTGAAGTTTGAGAAGCACAGCCATAGAGTGGATAAGATTAGAGTAGTTGCCAGGAGAGAATGTAGTAGATGGGACATTACCTGGACGTCACATTGCTTCCAAAAGCTTGAAGTGGTAGTGTCTCAGCTTCCACAGGCCGCTCCTATCCCCCACAGGGAGGTGGTGGAATACATGGTCCAGCATTTCAAGCCTCAGATCTTTGGCGATCGCAAGCCCGTGTATGATGGAAAGAAGAACATTTACACTGTCACAGCACTGCCCATTGGCAATGAACGGGTAAGGTTGGGAATCAGGCTAGTCCTGTGTCAGGGGTCTAGTGTGGTACAGAGCTCATGTAAGCCTGTTTGGAGTCTGGCATTCCAGAGAGCCCTTTCATCTTTTGTGCTGAGAAAGTGTGTTTTAGGGTGGGGTGGGATAGGTGCTGATATTTATTTAGCCCACTGTATGTCGGTACCTGTTCCAGACAGATTGAAATTGGATTTAAAATAGACCTAGATCTAAAGGACTTTCTGCTAGGTGTGACTGAGAGGGACAGAATCACCGAGCAAGGTGGCTGGGGGCTAAGGGGCTGCATTTACCCTGAAGTCTTCACTGTGAGCCCCTATCAGCTTAGGCAGATTCTTAGCAAATCCCCAGGGCAGGGGACAATTGGGGCTGGGCAGAGAATGTTGGACTGTGGGAAAGGACTGGCAACCCTTCACTCCTCTCTTTCTACCTGAAGGTTGACTTTGAGGTGACAATCCCTGGAGAAGGGAAGGATCGAATATTCAAGGTCTCCATCAAGTGGCTAGCCATTGTGAGCTGGCGCATGCTGCATGAGGCCCTGGTCAGTGGCCAGATCCCTGTTCCCCTGGAGTCTGTGCAAGCCCTGGATGTGGCTATGAGGCACCTGGCATCCATGAGGTACTGGGTACAGTTAGTATCTGGGCTTCTAGTGGTGTCAGCACTGCTACTGGGGGGAGGAGAGGAATGAGGACATATTAAGGTCCTACAGTGTGCCTTTCAAACAAAATCTTCTTTGAAGCCCTACCATATGCCAGGCCAGTGTGTATCTACATTTACATGGTTGAAAGCATTGGCCCCGTCCCTTTTAGATATCTCCAGGCCTCACCCCGTCTGTCCCTGCAGGGCAGGGAAAGGGTAGAGACTTGCACAAGGTCAGTCACACCACTAGTAGAGGATCAGAGCTGGAATTAAAGCCCTGGTGTCCTGCCTTCCAGGCCAGGGCTCCTCCGTGCCCAGGATGCCTCACAGGGTGGGGGCCTGTGCCCGAGGGACCAGTTCTCTGCCTGTCCCTGCCAGGTACACCCCCGTGGGCCGCTCCTTCTTCTCACCGCCTGAGGGCTACTACCACCCGCTGGGGGGTGGGCGCGAGGTCTGGTTCGGCTTTCACCAGTCTGTGCGCCCTGCCATGTGGAAGATGATGCTCAACATTGATGGTGAGTGGGGAGAGCTATGGAGCCAGGGGTACCCTGAGTCCAGTGACCACACTCCCAGCCTTCTCCCTCCCAGCTCTGCAACCATACTCCTAGTCTACTCCCTGTAGCCCTGGGACCCCCTCCCCTGTCCCAATGCCCTGTAAGGAAGAGGGTGTAAAGAGCAGTACCTCCATTTGTTCTGGCAGACAGAGCCTGAGCTGAGCTCTACCTACCCTGTCTGTCCCCACAGTCTCAGCCACGGCCTTCTACAAGGCACAGCCGGTGATTGAGTTCATGTGTGAGGTGCTGGACATCAGGAACATAGACGAGCAGCCCAAGCCCCTCACGGACTCCCAACGTGTGCGCTTCACTAAGGAGATCAAGGGTGAGGACCCAGCCAGGCAGGGAAGGGAAACAACGTTACTTTCTCTTTAGCCCTAAAAGGAAATCCCCTTGGGATATGTTCAGGGGAGAGGCCAAGCCTGGGAACATGAGCCACCTATTCCAACCCTGACAAGCAGTGTGTGTATCCCAGGCCTGAAGGTGGAGGTGACCCACTGTGGACAGATGAAGAGGAAATACCGCGTGTGTAATGTTACCCGCCGCCCTGCCAGCCATCAGACGTAAGTTGACAGGGCTGCTGAGCCATCCATTGGTGGTGGAAAAGGGTTAATATTTCAACACCCTCCCGTCACTGCCCTCCCCTCACCCACTAACCCTGAGAATAGGCCTTGGACTGGCCTTGCTTTCAAAGATAAGCGCCCCTCCCCCCAAACTCCCCAGGCCCATTGATGCTCTCCCTACCATTTTTACCTTCCTGGCCTCCACCTTTCCTCCATCGGGCTTTACTATAGATCAGGCATCTTCCCCTGACTCCTGTCTCACTTTTGTAAATGTTAGAATCTCTTTTGACTTATTCTTCCTCCAAAAAAAGAAAGCTGGGCTCCTGGGCTAGACCTTTGGGGAAGCTGTCAGCGATTTCACCCACCTTCTTGACCTCAGACTACTGGGCTATGAGTGCTTCCTGTGTGTCAGGCTTTATGCTCAACACTAGAGATACAAATAAGTCAGGTACGATCCTGACGGTTGTGGAACTTGCCTCTCAAATCTCTAGCTTCTCTTTTAGAACCCTGTATTGCCTGCTTTTCCAAGAGTGGCAGTACCCAGTAGAGGCTGGGTCGGATGAAGTCAAGTCTGGGACTTCCCATGGCTGTAGATCCAGAGAGGTGGGATTGAATACTGGGCTGTGACACCTCCTTCCCTTCCCCCAAACAGGTTTCCCTTGCAGCTGGAGAGTGGACAGACTGTGGAGTGCACAGTGGCACAGTATTTCAAGCAGAAATATAACCTTCAGCTCAAGTATCCCCACCTGCCATGCCTGCAAGTTGGCCAGGAACAAAAGCATACCTACCTGCCCCTAGAGGTGAGGCTGCCAAGTAACGGCTGGGCTGGGGAACAAGCATTTGCCTGTGCAATGATCATCAGAGGTCTGTTCTTCCATTTGTAGCCTCTCATCTTCATTTTGAAGTTTGGAAAATTGACATTCGGAGAGGTACGAGGTCATTCTGTGAAATGGAGGCCTCATTGCTACCTGCTAGATTCTTTTCTTATTTCCCATCCTGCGCTCATGTTCTTTCAGGACTGCCAGGCAGAGTCGAAAGCTGTATTTACTGTTTAATAAGTAATTAGTTCGCTCAGGACAGAGATTTCAGATACCCACATTCATGTCCTCTTAATTTCTCTTTCTCTGTTCTCCGGAGCTGGGGATCCTAAATGCCCTAAACCCAGAGCTACAAGTGTACCTTGTTTTAGAGAAAATAGGTTGAATCCTGTTTCCCGGATGATCAATGCGCTCTTTGTGAAAAAATTTTAGCCCTAAGATTTGTCATATTTTTATGCTTCAGTAGACCTTTGAAATCCTGCAATGCAAGAAAGAATAGTAATGCTTCTTAAGTTATAGAATGCAAATGTAGAACCATTGGACTGTGTTTGGTTTGGTATACACTAGCCAAAGTGTCTAATGAGAAACTACTGCTGACTACTTCATTGTCTAGTCCATTGCTGCTCAAAGTGTGGTCAGTGGACCAACACCATAGGCATACCCAGGAGCTTGTTTGAAATGCAGACTCTCAGGTTCCACCCAGACCTACTGAATCAGAATTTGCCTTTTAACAGAATCCAAAGAGGATTCATATGAACATTGAAGTTGGAGAATCACTAGCCTAGACTTTTGTCTTACTTTGTTCCAGCGGCAGGAGTCAGATAGCTGGGATCAAAGCTCAAGCCTTCTGTGAGCCTCTGGGGTTTCAGAATTAACCAGAGGGAATTAGGCTGAAGGGAGAACACATCCCCAAACCCAAGAACTGACTCAGTTAGGTTATAGGTGCTGATGCATAGAAAGTGTGAAGAAGACAATATTTTCTCCGAGGTGTAAATGGAAATCTTTTGGGATGTGATCCCAACTAAGTAGATAGGCTTTAGGTCTTATCTACTGCTAGCTGAGATTTGTTAGCAAGTTAACATCTGTTTACATGATAGTTTCCGAGAGGAATAATTTATATAATGACTTACGTTTTGATTTTTACTGTTGTTCGGCTCCTACTATGTGTCATATATACTCTTTTAGGTGCTGGGAATGTAGAGATTAATAAGACAAGGTCCCCGCTGTCATGGAGCTTATATTCTAGAAGGGGGAGATAGACAATAAATTGATAAATAAGATAGTTTCAGATGGTGGTAAGTGCTATAAGAATAATAAAACAGGTTAAAGGGAGAGAAGTAAGGGTGGAGGGGGTTGGAGACCGCTTAAGCTATTGTGGTCAGGGAAGGTGGCTTTTAGGAGACATTTTGAGCTGAGTCCCAAATTAAGAGAGAGAACCAACCTTGTAACAACCTGAGGGCAGCGCCTTCTAGGCAGAAGGTAAATAATAAGTACAAAGAAAGGCTCTGAAGCAGCAGGAAGCTTGGGTCTTTTTGAGAGAGAGACAGAGGCCACGGTGGCTGGCATGTAGTATATGAGGAGAAAAGTGATAGATGATTTTGAAGAGAGGCTCATGGCCAAATAATGTAGGCTGTTGTAGCCCGGTGGGATTTTTTTTAAAAAAAATCAAGATATAATTCACATACCATAAAGTTTACTCTCTTAAAATATACAATTCACTGGTTTTTCTAGTATATTCACAGAATTGTGCAACCGTCATCACTATCTCATATTAAAACATTTTCATCACCCTCAGAAGAAAGCCCATACTCATTAGAAGTCACTTACCATTCCTTCCACTGTCCCCCCCCACCACCCTCCCCACAGACACACACACACAGCCCCTAGTAATCACTAATTTACTTCCGTTTCTATGGACTTGTCTGTTCTGGATATTTCATATAAATGGAATTATATGATATGTGGCCTTTTTTGACTGGCCTACTTCACTTAGCATAATGTCTTCAAGGTTCATCTATATTGTAGCATATGTCAGTATTTCCTTCCTTTTTAAGGCCGAATAATATTGTTGTATGTATGTACCACATTTTGTTTACCCCTTCATTCATTGACAGATACATGGGTTGCTTCCATCTTTTAGCTATTGTGAGTAATGCTGCTATGAATATAGGTGTACAAATATTTGTTCTAGTCCCTGCTTTCACTTCTTTTGAGTACATGCCCAGAAGTAGAATTGCTGGATCATACGGTAATTCTGTGTTTAATTTTTTGAGGAATCACCATCCTGTTTTCCATAGCGGCCATACCATTTTACATTCCCCACCAGCGGTGCACTGCACAATGGTTCCAATTTCTCTACGTCCCTACTTCAGCCCTTTTCTTAGTGTTGATTCTGTAGTTGATATTGTCTATAGAGAGTGCCATAGCTTTTAAGGTGCCTTCAAGAGAGCAGCCTCACAAATTTTAATTCTGGATTTTCATTAAGTGAACTGACTGATTTGTATGTTGTTTGGGAAACAGTTTAAGGGCAGATGATCTAGTCCTGGCTTTCCCTACCATTGTTCAGCATGAACTCTGGAAATTTGGGGCTGTTCCAGTACTTCCATAGTGTTGGCCCTATGGGAGCGAGTTACATGTTTCATTTCTTCTGAATCCTCACAACAACCTCATGAGACAGCTAGTGGTTTTTTCCCCATGACTGAAAATAAAACAGCCATCTCAGAGTGGTTAAGAGACCTATACCTGCCCAAGGTAACATCAGCTAGAAATGACAAAGTGGGACTTCAAACTCAAGTCTTCTAAACCTATTGGCTCTCTCTACTCTTCCAAAAAGCTTCCTGTTCATGGCATCTTGAATATAGCATATTGGGGAGTGGAAGTCTTATATGTCACTGGAAAGTCTTTTCTGATCTCCATTGTGTTCTGTTGGGCCCAAAACAGGAACCAAGTGGCAGGGTGTTTCTTGTACCAACAGAGGACACTGTCAGTCAACAAACAGTGATTTCAATAGTCCAGGGGCTCAGTGATCATCTGTAGACTGGGGTTCAAGAGTCAAGAGCCTTCCCTAGTTCTTTTGGTGGGTTACAGGACAGAGCAGCAGACTTCCTGTCACCATTGGAGAGCTGCCTACTACCTTAGGAATCCAGTTTGTATATATTGAGCTTTTTAGTATTGAGAAGAGCTCTATATTGGGTCCTTTGGTAAATAATAATTTATCGTGCAGTTTATTGAGTATTTACTGTGTTCCAGAACTGTACTCAGCCCTTTAAGGTGCTTTATTTTATTTAGTCTCCAGATAATCCTATGGGATTGTTACTGTTGTCTCCATTTAACACATGGGACCTGAGCCCAGATCTGGCTCTGGATCACAAGCTCTTAATCACAATGTAGCCATATTGCCTTTTGTGTTGCACCTGGGTATTTTCTAGCTTAGCCTGTGTGCCCAAGGGATTTTGCAGCCCCCTTCCCAGGGCAGACAGCCAAGGTCTGTTCCCTTATTGTGGGGCTCTGAATATAGGGTAAACTGAACTCAAGCCAGGGTAACCTACCTTCTTGTTTCCTCAGGTCTGTAACATTGTGGCTGGGCAGCGCTGCATTAAGAAGCTGACGGACAACCAGACTTCCACCATGATAAAGGCTACAGCGAGGTCGGCCCCAGACAGACAGGAGGAGATCAGCCGCCTGGTTAGTGGGGCTGCAGAGAAACATGCTCAGTTGCTCAGTCACTGGGGCCCCTGGTAGCACAGATGCTTTTCTGCCTTGGCAGGACCCTCAGGAGAACAAAAGCCTAGATTTGTTTCCTGGGATTCCATAGGACCGCTCTTACTTCTTGACCCTGTACCTACTTTGCTTTCATTTTCTTTTTCCCTTTTGTATTCCCTATGTTATCCACTCCCACTTATGTCATCTTCCACTTTCCCTCCTGTGTTAGGGCTACTCTTGCCAGTCTCAGCTGCCCAGGGCATTCTACTTGGGACCCAGAAGGTGAGCAGTATTGCCAAGATGCTGCTCTCCTGAGATCCCTTTGTTTTGTCTTGCAGATGAAGAATGCCAGCTACAACCTAGATCCCTACATCCAGGAATTTGGGATCAAAGTGAAAGATGACATGACGGAGGTGACGGGACGAGTGCTGCCGGCGCCCATCTTGCAGTATGGCGGCCGGGTGAGCAGGGTCAGGGCCAGACAACATCTCTGGGGTATTTTGGGGGGAGATTGGGTTGTATAGCCAGGGGCTTTGGCTCCCCTACCCACCTGGTTCTACTGAGGCTCACCTGGGCACCCCCTTTGCCTATCCTCAGAATCGGGCCATTGCCACACCCAATCAGGGTGTCTGGGACATGCGGGGGAAACAGTTCTACAATGGCATTGAGATCAAAGTCTGGGCCATCGCCTGCTTCGCACCCCAAAAACAGTGTCGAGAGGAGGTGCTCAAGTAAGGACGGCTGGGTGTATGGGTGGAAGGGTGGGAAGGACCCTAGAATTGCCTACCTTCTCCTACCCCCAAGGGGCCAAGATTTGACAGCAGTATGCTAGTTCTGATTCTTGGCTCTGCCTTCTTGAACTCTCTGGCTCAAACTTTTGCTTGTTCCTTTTCTGCCAATCGGGGGTCAGGAGCCCTGCCTATTCAGAGATGATGATTTCAGGGCATGAATCTCCTCAGTGAGGCCCAAATTATTATTATTTTGTTATAATTATTAACATTGGTAATAAATAATAGTAGTGATGACTATAATGTTTATGCTAACATTGTACCTAATTTTATGTCCTTATTTCATTGTCATAGCAAGTAGGTGGTGGTATTTCCATTTTCTGGAGACTGAGGCTCAAAGAGCTGAAGTAACTTGTACAAAGTTTGTATATCAAGAAAGCATCAGAGTTGGGATCAAATAAGACTGAGGTTTCAAAGCTTATATTCCTAAGGAAAAAAAACAGTTTATTTAGTTGGTCCTCTGAGCTGTCCTCTCCTGTGCACAGAATTTGTTCAGTCAGGTCCGAGGGACCTGAATTAGGTGAACATGAGTTGTAAAGGCCTCTGAGCCACCTGTGGCTGAGGGGCTGGGAACAGACAACAATGAAGAAAGTGATACAGCCAAATGGTTTATAGGAACAGGTTAGGGGAATAATGGTCTTGAGTGAGTGAATGAGCAAGTGGAAGAAGTCACTGACTCTTCCCCTGCGGTACTTTTTTAATTTTTATACAGCTTTATTGAGATATATTTCAAATACCTCAAAATTCACCCATTTAAAGTGTACAGTTTGGTAGTTTTTGCAGTGTTTTGAAGTGGTGGTTTCTTATTTCTCTGGATGTGGCGGGGAGTGCACTGTGAGGTTGAGATGCACTCCCTGGTGGGTTTAGCTGGCCTGGGTTTTTTTTCATAAGAATTAGTTAACAGCAGCCTCTGAAGAATGTGGGGACTCTGGCTGCCCTGCCCCACCTTCTCTCCTCACAGGTACCCAACTACTACCATCACAATTGTAGTTTCTTTTAAATGGGTTCGTCCTGTCCCCTTTCTTCGGTTCTTGGTATTTTCACTCCATTTAAGCCAGGCTTCTCCTAGCCTGGCCAAGCATGGGAGAACCAGTCCCTAGCAATATTGGAAAGGCTCCCAGCTCTCTGCCTTAATGCCTTTATGTCACCTTGTTGGTAGCTCCATTCTGAATGTGCTTCTTTCTTGTTCCCATGTCCTTCCCCTGTCCCATTCTTTTGAGAAACAATCCATTGTTTTGGATATTTTGGGGGTACAGAAACTGATGAACCTAGAATCTGAGTTGGAAGGAGTCAGTTCATCAGACATCTTCTTCCAGTGATTCCTAAATGCAGGTGGGAAGAATGTGACTTGTATACCTGGGTCAGTAGTACCCAGTGGGATATGTGGCTCTGGCCTAAAGATAAAGATTTGGGAGTCTTCAGCCATGGCAGTGGATGAGACTGTTCGGGGAGAATGTGCACAGTGAACACAGGCTGAATGTAGAGCTCAGAGACACTGGAAAGGAAATAGAGTTCCTAAGTGTGTATGAGGGGATGGGATTCTGAGCACAGGAAAAGGTATCCTTTCCACTGAGACAGAAGGGCCAGAGACAAAGGTGGCCGTGGAGGTGGAGGGGATGGAGTGGGGAGTACTAGCGTCAACCATCAGAATTTTTCTTTTGGCTAAAGAGGCCCCAATACTTCAGCTATATCACTTTTAAGATAGGTTCGTAAGACCTTCCCCATCCTAGACTTTTCTCAACACTTTGTGGTCCCCGGTGCTGGATACAATAGATCACAAGTGAACTGGTAGAGAGAAGATTGGGAATACCAGTTTTCTTCAAGAAGAGACCCACTATCAGTGGAATCTAGTAACACGCTGGTTTTTTTAGTAGCTACGTTGAAGTTGTATATAAGGCAGAGAAATGGAAAAAAATAGTTAGTAGTCCATCAGAGAGCCTGGCTCTTATTTACAACAGTTAGGTTATATTTCCTTATTCTAAGATTTATTTTGAAAAATTAAAAATATGTAGAATAATATGGCAAACACCCATGTATCCATCATCCAGAGTTTTGTCATATTTTATTTCTTTAAAGTAAATAAAGTAGAACAGATAAATTTGACATTTCCTTTATATCCTCCCTCCTAGCTCTAGTCCTCCCTTCTGACGCAGCTGTCATGAATTATAACCTCCCTATCCAATTATACATTTTATATATATACCTATATGTGTATAAATGGATTAAAATTTTACATAACAGTATTATACAGTATTTAGCTTGCTTGGTTTTGTTTTGTTTTTAAGCTGAGCCATCCTGCCACCTGTTCGCAGCTCAGCGGCTACTCAGCTCGGGCTGGGACTCGAACCGCTGTTGCTCAGAGCTCAAACTCTTGAGCGAGCTCTTAACCAACTGAGCCACTCGGCCGGCCCAGCTTGCTTGTGTTTTTTAACTAAATATGTGAAAAAATAACTATTTTCCCTCTACGAAGGTTTTTCAGTCTATCACTGATATTTATGTGCTGTATAAGAGCATCCTCTAAAACAGCGGTTCTCAACCTGGGGGTCGAACGACCCTTTTACAGGGGTCGCCTAAGACCATCGGAAAACAAAAAATATTTACATTATGATTCATAACAGTAGCAAAATTACAGTTATAGAGTAGCAACGAAAATAATTTTATGGTTGGGGGGTCACCACAACATGAGGA